CGCTATGGGTCGGAACCGACTCGACGGCACTTAACAACAACAACAACAAGCAAAAAAAGCAAGGCAGATTTGTGTGGTAATGAACCCTTTACTATTAAATTGTTTAAGTTAGACTAGTGATCTTTCTGATTGATGAGTAGAAGGAATGCTTGTCCTGTAATAAGTTTTAGACTTAAAAAACTAAGTTTCCATTCAGTGCTAATAGTCTACCACAAGAAAATTTTCATTTTCCCCAGAATTTGGACCCATAACGGCTCATGCCTGAAATAAAATCCTATTTGCCTAGAATTTGAAATATATAGAATCATCCACTGTTGGTTCTGACTCATAGAAATCCTGTGTAGGGTTTCCAAGGAGTAGCTGGTGGGGTTGAACTTCTGCCCCTGCATTCAGCAGTCCAGTGCGTATCCTACAGCACCACACTAGGACTCTGACCTTGATTGTATCTGACCTAAATTTAGAGAGCATTTCAAGAATAGATTTGGTGAATTAGAGACTAAGAGCATCATGCATCAAGAAAATACAAGGTCATTAAAAAGAAAGGAAAGCAAGAAAAGACCAAAATAGATGCTAGAAGAGACTCTGAAACTTGCTCTTGAACATAGAGAAGGTAAAGTGATAGGAAAGAATGATGAAGTAAAAGAGCTGAACAGCTAGAGACGACAAAGTCAAGTAGTACAAAAAGGTGTTCAAAGACCTGGAGTTAGAAACTAAAAGTAAAGAACATGGCTCAGTATTTCTCAAGCTGAAAGAATTGAAAGAGAGAAAAAAATTCAAGTCTCGGATTGCAATAATAAAGGATTCTATGGGCAAAATCTTGGACTAAGGAAGCATCAAAAGATGGAAGGACAAGGGAGAAAAGCGGAGTGCGGGGCCCTATCCAGAGAAACAGTGAGGCCAGAGATGGAGGCAGAAATGATGACGTGGAGAGATGGAGCGGCTAGGGACTCTAGACCAGAGAGGGAGAGGGGCTGTGTGCTGACGACCGAGGGGCAGGCTTGTGGAGTATACATTTGGTTGTTTGATGATGCATGGAGGGGATTGTAATCATGGCAATGAAACAATATACGATAGGATGAATGTAAAGCTAATGTTCTCTCATGTAAACTATCACATAATTCACAATGAAACTTAAAAAAAAGAAGATGGAAGGAATACTTAGAGTCACTGAACCAAAATGAATTGGTCGATATTCAGTCATTTCAAGAGGTACCACACTGAAGGAAGAAGTACAAGCTGCACTGAAGGCAATGGCAAAACACAAGGCTCAAGGAATTGATGGAATCTCATTTGAAATATTTCAACAAATGGATACAATCCATGAGACCCTCACTCATCTAAAGCAAGAAAATTTGGAAGACAGCTCTGTGACCAACTGATGGAAAAGATCCATATTCGTGCTCATTCCAAAGTAAGACAACCCAATGAAATACAGAAATCATTGAACAATATCATTAATATCACAAGTAAATAAATTTTCTGAAGATAATTCAAAAATGGTTGCTGCAGTACATCAACAGGGAGCTGCCTGAAATTCAAGTCAGATTCAAGAGATAATGTGGAACTAGGAATATCATAGCTGAAATCAGATGGATCTTGATTGAAAGCAGCAAATACCAGAAAGATGTTTACTTGTGCTTTATTGACTATGCAAAAGCATTCAACTGTGTGGATCAAAGCAAACTATGGATAACATTGCTAAGAATGGGAATTCCAGAACAATTAATTGTGCTCATGAGGAACCTATACATAGTCCAAGAGCCAGTCATTAGAACATAACAAGGAGATATTGAATGGTTTAAAATCAGGAAAGGTGTGCAACAGGGTTGTATCTTTTCTCCATACTTATTCCATCTATGCTGAGCAAATAATTTAAGAAGCTGAATTATATGAAGAACATGGCATCAGGATTGGAGGAAGATTTATTAAAAATGTGTGATATGCAGATGATACAGTCTTGCTCGCTGGAAGCAAAGAGGACTTGAAATACTAATTGATGAAGATCAAAGACCACAGCCTTCCGTATGGATTGTACCTCAATGTAAGGAAAACAAAAAAATTCTCACAACTGGATCAATAATTAGTATGATAAGCAGAGAAAAAATGTGACGTCAGACTTCATTTTGCTTGGATCCATCATTTTGCCTAATCCAATCAATGTTCATGGAACACGCAGTCAAGAAATCAAACTAGTTAAATTAGGCAAAGGTGCTGCTAAAGACCTCCTTGAAAGTGTTTAAAGAGCAAAGATATCAGTTTGAGGACCTGACCCAAGCTGTGACATTTTCAATCACTTCATACATATGTGAACATTGGACAATGAATAAAGAACACCATAAAAGAATGGATGCATTTGAATTATGGTGCTGGAGAAGAATATTGAAAGTACCATAGACTTCCAGAAGAATAAACGAATCTGTCTTGGAAGAAGTACAGACAGAATGCTCCTTAGAAGCCTGCATGGGAAACCTCTTCACTCCTTCTTTGGACATGTTATCAGGAGGGACCAGTCCCGGGAGAAGGATATTATGCTTGGACAAGTGAAGGATCAACAAAAAACAGGAACACTCCTAACGAGATGTATTTGAATTGACATAGTGGTAGCAACAATAGGCTCAACCTTAAGTACTATGAGATTGGTGCAGGACCTGCTGGCAGTGTTTCATTCTATTGTGCATAGAGTCGCTGAGTCAGAACCAACTCGACAATACCTAACAATAACAATAATGTATTGGAATCCCTGGGTAGTGCAAAGGTTAAGTATTCAACTACTAGCTGAAGGCTGGCAGTTAGAACCAACCGAGAGGTGACTCAGAATACAGACCAGATGATCTGCTTCTGAAAGGTCATAGCCTTGAAAACCCCATGTATTACACCAATTCCCGAGGAATTAATAACAGCAACATTACAGTTGTTTTAGGGTAATTGTTGTTAAGTGCCCTTGAGTCAGTTCCGACTCATAGAGACCTTGTACAGGGTTTGCAAGGAGTGGCTGATGAGCTTGACCCCTGACCTTGTGATTCAAACTAATTTTGCAGTCCAGCACATTAATACACAGGCCACACCAGGACTACATTATTGTATCTTTGAAATTTAATAGTAAACTGCAAAGCTTAACTACAAGTAGACGTATTTATTGTCGTTATTTCTGAAGACCTTTGTTTTGAATTGCTGCATATTTCAGGGTGAGGATTAAGGTGAGATGTTCCTAGTTGTCTCAGAAGAAAAAGTCACTCTGCTGTAGGTCAGCCCACCTTGCACAAACCTCTTTGGAGCAAAATGTTACAGTTTAAAAGGTGGAGGCCTGGGGAAATGAAGTATACAACCAAGATCATCTGAGGTGGTTCCCACCCTCTCCCAGCCTCCATCAACCACTGTAGGAAGGCTTCCCCTGGGTGCACTTCATCATGTGATCCAAGCATTCCTTTTAAAGGTCCAGCTTCAGTAAGGAGAGCCAGCCTTCCAAGTCTTAGGGAAGCTGACAATCGTAGGGACTGGGGTTTTAACATTTTATATGATTTGCCACTAACCTAAATCGGGAAAGTCTCCCAAGCAGTCACTGTGTTTTCAGATTGGCCCATACTCGCCTTCTCCTGGTAGGCCTAGGTGTCCTTGAGCCAAGTAGGTGATAGTGTAATCAAATGATAGGTTCATGTTGGTGGAAAAAAGAGGTGTATGTTTTAGGAGCTGTTTTATGTGCCTCCGTGTTGGGGAACAGAGAGGAACTTGTAAATCCGTTTCTCCTAACTTTCCTAATCTGTGAACCCCACCAGGTTAAACAGCGAAGGCTAGAATAACCTTCAGGCACTTTGAGGAGGCTAGGGGAGCAAAAGTGGAACCGAATCTGGGTAATTTGGCCTGGGTCTCGGGTCTGCAAAGAACAGCATTCACACCTGTCTGAGGTGCCCTCTTTTTGCAGGCCTGTTTGCGTCTATGAAAAAATGCCCAGACTACCAGCTAACCCACCTCAGCTAGAGACAGGCCCTGTGGTGTTTCATTTTTAGCCCCGTTACAGAAACCGCTCCAGAAAACAGATTCTTTCATTTTGAATTCAAAGAAAAAAATGCAAGAAGAGTGAATCCTGACTAAGCTTAAGTGGGGAGTTTGCTAAGAAGACGGATAAAGGAAGAACAAAATTGGGTGGCGCTAAGGCAGCTGGTCAATATAAATCTGCATGTGTACACCTATACAAAAATGATATGTACAGACTCAAAACACACTTGCTCACATGTGACACTGCTCCACAGCAACCAATCGGACAAAGTCCTCCCACCATTCAAGTACGGAGTAGTCTTTTCTGCGCTTGCGTAATAAACTCGTTTCTGCTCCGGCCCTCCCGACACCCCGCCCTCGAGTTCGTCCTGCCCCGCCCACTTTCCCTCCTCTCCGGATCGCGTATGCAAGGCATTGTGGGACACAAACAAAGTGCCCCCCAAACAGGCTGGAGTGAGCGGAGGACCAACTGCTGTGGCGGCGCTGGCCCCGGCCCCGCACGAGCGGCGGCTCCCCCTCCCCAACCTCCCCCTTCCCTCCCCTTAGTCCCCTTTCCCTTCCCCACCCTGCCCCGCCGCGAAGACTCTAGCGCTCACGGTGCTCTTCTAAAGCGCTTGGTGCCTTCGGCCAACCGCCCCCAACGGCCGCCAGCGCGCGGCTCCCTGGTCCCTGTTCGCTCCTCCCCTCAGGTCCCTCCAACCGCCAGGGGGCTACTTCCCTACCCACCCACTAAGCACTCTCCCATCACAGACACGCTGCTTCTCTTTGCCGCCATGCCCCAGCCACAGGCTATCCACGGGCCTAGGCGCAGCGGCCCGAGATAGGGTCCCTCGGCTCCCGGGGGAGGAGAGAAGGGAGCGAGCCTCGCGCTCCGCCCCTCCCCCCGGGCTGTCGCCTCCGTCGCAGCCGACACCTCGCCTCTTCAGCCTGGCGGGGAAAAGCAAGAGCACCAGGAGGCCACCGGGCCCGGCACAGCCACCCGCAGGTAATGGGGAGGGGGCAAGTGGGGGGGACTACAGGACTCCCCGCGCCGCCTGTGCCCTCGGGGTGTGCCCTCGGAGGGATTGACAGCACGCGTCCCCTATCTGGGCGTTGGAGGGAAAGCCAAGCCTGGTCTGTCACCCCCATCCGTTCCTGGAGACACCCCACAGGGTCCCCTCTATGGCATTAAATACTTAAAGGAAGAGACTGGCCAGGAGAAATTCCCCCATCTTCCAGGTTACTCCCTGTAGTGTGTACCCCCATTTGTTCAGCACCCTAACCCAAAACAGACAAGAGGTGTTATCTGCTCTCACCTGATAGGATTTCCTCAAACTAGGGATCCTGAGACCTGACTCTCCCCCCCTCCCCCCCTTCTCCCTTGCTTTTTTTCTGGTATGGGGAGCAAGAGGATGGCACTTCTTTAAAAAACAATCATCACACGTACACCTCTTTTTCTTCTCTACCTGAGGCTCACTCTGCCGCTTGTCTTTTTACTGCTGGCCTAGCCAGAAAAGGAGCTACCTGCAAGTGAAATAACAAGTACGTTAGAACTGATTAAAGGAAATTGCAGCCATAAGTTCTGTGAACCATAACCGGAATTTAGAATAAAACCCAGTAATCGCGTACTTCATTGGAACTTACTTATAGAAATGAAGGGAAAAATGTAGTATTTCTCAGTATGCTCGTAGAGTAAATATCTCCTGGAATAAGGAAAAATGTCTATTTAATGTTAACTTATTTTCTTAGTATTTTATTTGGATATAGGCTAATACAAATGCAAACTGTTTGACAGAAGCAAATAGTTTCAGTAGGTGAAGATTTTGATGAACTCCTTTTCCCTAGGGTTTTAGTTGGAATGCTTGAATTTAAAAAAAAATTGAATGTAAGCTTTTATTTCCCCTGTATTTCACTTGCCTTCCAATGGAGTAGTATTTTGTTTTTTCTTTTTAATGTAGTTTCTTCATCCAGGAATGTAAAGGGATGTTTTCCTACAGTTTGTATTATAGGATGATTATATTTGTAAAAATTTAAAAACCAGATTTACTTATTGTGTACAAAATGTGTGCTGGCATTTTGTGTATGTAATCTTTTAAGAACACTTTAATGACACAGGTGTTGCATTTTATAGAGACAAACCTAGTGATAAGAAACTTGCCTTTGGCCACAAAACTAGTAAGTCATAGATTTGGATTCAGATATAATTCCAGCAGAGTCCTGGGGGCACAAGGTTAGTGCTAATTGAAAAGTTAGTGGTTTGAACCCTCCAGTGGAGTCCTGGTGTAGCACTGGACTGAAAGGTCAGTTTGAACCACAAGGTCAACAGTTCAAACCCACCACTCACTCCTCAGAAACCCTGTACAAGGTCACTATGTATCAGAATTGACTAGCCAGCATGGAACAACAATGACTTTGCAGGAGACCTGACTACATCTGCTCCTAGAAAGAATGCTGTTAGTGCCATCAAGTCAGTTCTGATTCATAGCGACCCTGTATAGGGTTTCCGAGGAACGGCTGGTAAGCTTGAACCACCGACTTTGAGGTTCAAACTGACCTTGCATTCCACTGCATTAACCTACAGCACCACACCTCTAAAGATTACAATTTAGAAAACCTAATGGGCAGTTCTTCTGTCACATAGGATCACTATGAGTCGAAAATCAACTCAACAACTCCTAACAACAACATAATTCTAGCATAGGTATATTTTCTATTGTTTATTGTTGTTGTTAAGTGTTGTCAAGTCGATTCCGACCCATAGTGACCCTGTATAGGGTTTCCAAGGAGAAGCTAGTGAGCTTGAACCACCGACCTTGCAGTTCAAATGCCTTTGCAGTCTGGTGCATTAATCCACAGCACCACACTCCATAAAGGTACACTTTTTAAAAAACTTAATTATGAAAAGTTTCAATTACATAAAAGTTGAGGGTAGGGAAACACAATACCCACCTCCTCGATTAAGTAATTAGCAATTCTGCCCTTCTGTTACCTCTTTCTTCTTTATGTATGTGTGTTATATGCACATATATGCATGTGTTTGTAAACATTTGAAAACAAATTTCCAACATGGCCCTCAAATATTTGAGTATGCAGTTCTTAAAAGTAATATTTTTCTACTAACCCCAATATCAAGGAGCTCTGGTAACATAGTGGTTACGAATCTGGCTGCTAACCTCAGTCAGCAGTTGGAAACTACCAACTGATCCGCTCCCATAAAGATTTACAGCTTCGGAAACCCTGTACAGGGTTGCTATGAGTTTGAACCGATGCCACAGAATATAACAACAACAACAACAACAACAACAACAATCCCAATATCATGATCATACTTGTAAAACTTAATTCCAATCCAGATTCAAATTTCTTTAATTATTCTAAAATGTCTGTGTGTGCGCGTGTGCATCTCCCACTCCAGGCTGGATTCTATCAAGGTTTATACATTGCATTTGGCAATTTTTAGTCTCTTTTTTTAAAAGTGCCCATTACTCCCTCCTTTTTTTCCTCTGACAGCTAAGACACATACCATTTGTCTTAAAGACTACCCCCACATTCAAAATTTGTCTGCTTCTTCTTCGTGTCATTTTCCTTATTCCTCTGAGTTTGCTGTAACTGTAAGCTAGATCTGAAAGAAAGGCTTGACTAGCTGTGAGTAAAACTTTTTGCCAAGAATATTTAATAGATGATACTATGTGCTTTGGGTTAATGTGCTAGACTGTGAAGTCAGTTTGGAACCGCAAGACTGGTAGTCTGGTTCACCAGTTGTTCCTAGCATAGGGTCGTTGTGGGTCAGAACCAACTCAGTAGCACTTAACAACAACAACAACAACTATGTACTTCAGAGGGCATTCATAGTTCAGTGGTAGAATTCTTGTAGGAGAGCATGCACCTCATGCATAGCCACTCCCTGACAATCAGTAGAGGCTGGCTTGTTGATGATGAACAGGTTTCAGCAGAACTTCCAGACTAAAATGGAATAGAAAGAAAGGCCTGGTAATCTAAGTCTGAAAATCAGCCAGTGAAAACCCTATGGATAACAAGAGTTTGATCAGCAACCAGTCATGAGGATGGCCTGGGGACACCTTTTGTTCAGATATGCATAACATCACCATGACTTGGAGGCTTGTTCAGTGGCAACTAAAAGCAACCACAACCAGGAGCAAAGGCAGGAAGGAGCTGGGCATTCCTGGGTGGGTCCGAGGTTATAGCTTGGGGATGAGGGGATGAGGTAGTTCTGGACTTATGACATATTCTACTTAACAAACCGCACTTACCACCCAGGAACTGCACTTACAACCACCTCTGTTTTTAAATTTTAAAAATATAGAGATACATATACAATCTGATCATTGCATGTAATGTTGTAGCATAGAATTTGTGATGTTATTGACAGATGTTCATTCCCAGATGTTCAATGTCATGATTTATAAGGATGAAAATAAAAAGGCATTAATAATAAAAACTAAAGAAAAATAAGGTATTACACTTATGTCAGAGCTGACTTGGAACAAAATATTGTCATTAAGTCAAGGACTACCTGTAATATCATGACACCAAGTAAATACCCTGTTTCTAACTACCTTTTGTTTCATGATTATAGTACTCATTGATTATCTGTACTTGAATCAGTTATTTAATAGAGGTTCTCTGTAAGAACAGCTTTCCATCATTAACTGGAGATGCACTAAAGTTTTTTAAATGTAGAAAAAAATTTTTTTCCTTTAATCTTTAATATTCAGAGTAAAGAGTTGGGATAGCAATCCCATGGTACTTTTTCTTTCTTCTTTGGGGGGTACCAATATAGGCTCATGAATTTTTAATTCATCCATTGTTTTATAGCCAATTGTAGTCATTTTCCTTTTTTATAATCAAATTGTCCCAAATTTGACCTATATGAGACCTATCAAGTTAGCACCTATATCTTTTTGACACCCCCACTCCACTTGTTATATGGAATCCTGGTGTGGTACTATGGGTTAATGCGCTGGACTGCAAGGTCATTTTGAACCACAAGGTTAGCAGTTCAAGCTCACAAGCTGCTCCTTGGAAACCATCTACAGGGTAGCTATGAGTTGGAACCAACTCAGCTACACTTAACAACAATAACAACTCCATTAGTTGCAAGTAAAGTTTTACTATAGATAATTGAAAAGCAGTTGCAGCACTTTATCAACAGGGAGCTGCCAGAAATTCAAGCTGGATTCAGAAGATGTGGAATGAGGGTCCTCATTGCTGATGTCATATGGATCTTGACTGAAAGCAGAGAATGCCAGAAAGATGTTTAACTGTGCTTTATTGACTATACAAAGACATTTGATTATGTGGATCAAAGCAAATTATGGACAGCATTGTAAAGAATGGGGATTCCATTAACACTTAATTGTGCTCATGAGGAACCTGTACATATACCAAGGCAGTTTTAGAACAGAGCAAGGGGATACTGAACAGTTTTAAATCAGGAAAGGTATCCAACAGAGTTGTATCCTTTCACCATACTTATTCAGCCTGTATGTTGAAAAACTACTCTGGGAAACTAGATTATATGAAGAACATGGCATCAGGATTGAATTAAGACTTATCAGCAACCTGTGATATACGGATGACACAACCTTGCCTTCTAGAAGTGAAGAGGACTTGAAATGTTTCTGATGAAGATCAAAGACTACAGTATTTAGTACGGATTGTACTTCAATGTAAAGAAAACAAAAGTCCTCACAACTAGATCAGTAAATAACATGATAAACAGAAAAGGTTGAAGTTGTCAAAGACTTCATTTTGCTTGGATCTGCAATCAATGCTCATGGAAGCAGCAATCAAGAAATCAAATGACATATTGCTTAAGACAAAGCTCCTGCTAAAGACCTTTTAAAGTATTAAAAGAGCAAAGTTCTCATTTTGAGGACTATGGTGCACCTGACCCATGGCATGGTATTTTCAGTGGCTTCATATGCATGTGAAAGTTGGACAGTAAATAAGGAAGAGCATAGAAGAATCTATGCGTTTGAATTA